AAAGAAGTAAATTTTATTTCTTGATGTTTATATAAATTTTGGCATGAAATACTATAAAGCTTTCGGGTCGAATTCTATGTTAAATTCTTTGGGATAGACCGTTATGTCAAGTATGTTAAATCGTAGGAGATGAACTTTTGGATCAGTTATGTTAAATCCTACGGGATATTGGAATTCTTAAGAAATTCCTTAAGTTTTAAATCTAAGAAATGTCGGTTTCATATTTATATCATGTGAATAAGAATGTGCGCGTATTCTTACTTAGTGTTTTCAAAATACTCACTCTTACTAAAATTTTATATTAGAACGGGTGAAAGATTTTTATTTGAATAATATCTTTATGTTAATACTCGTTAATTAATATTTTTAGTGATCCAGCGTTCGATATTTTATGTTAAATCTTAAATTAATAGTTTGGAATGGAGTATTTCAAGAATTATATTTAATATGAAAATTTTACTTGGTTGTTATTTTATCGTTATCGAATTATCGATCGCATTTTTCAAATTTCAACCCTTGATAAAAGTGCTATTTCCGCTTAAATTAGATGAAGAAAATTTGATAACACCTCATGCCTATTTTTATAAAAGAATAAAATAATAAAGATGAAAATGATTTCGGGGTGTTACAAAGACACCCAAATAGACTTCCGTTCCCGAATTCCCACCACAGCCTCCTGACTAAGCTTATGTTCATTTATTGAAAAGTCACACATTGTATCATTTCTTCAATAAAAAGTCACATACCAGACAACCAACGACGTCCCCCTTTGGCCCAACCCATTCCAAATCTTGAACAGGTGAATGTATTAAAGCCTCTGTTTGGCTAATAAATTTATAAATAATTTATAAATTGAATCAAAATTAAATATTAATCATACAGACTACAGTTATAAATCATAACTACTAATTATTATTATTAATATATTTTGTGGAATCCACCGTTATAACGTATTTGATAAAATAAATTTCCATCAAAGATCCAGTTAATGACGGCGCAGCCAAATTGTGACCTTCGTGTATCCGATCGACCAGTGTACGGCGTCGTTGCATTTAAGAAAACTTTTTGGCCCAAACCTTCCTAAATCCAAAGTTTCATTCTCCAGAGTCCAGACTGAGAGGAGCCCATGTCTTCTCTAGACTATGCATGCATATTCCGAGTAAATCCACCAATTTTCCCCAAGTGCCAAACCTTTGCATAAGCCTACGTATTGAACTACAAGCCAATAAAAATTCTCAATGATCCTGAGTATTACGGATGGTTTTCTTGAGTTAGACCCACAGGAAGCAGGAACCATAATTGCTTAGTTAGACTAAACTTCACCTCGATAAAAAGGCTACTAGAATTACTATCATAGTTGTTCTTTGAATCGGGATCTCATTTATATTTAATTCTTGATGTCCTTTGTTGCACTCTCTTAAATGGAAGCATCTCATTTCTGAAAACCATGCTCTGGGTTCCTTCGCCGGTTTGTTTCGTTCTTTCTCTTTGTATCTCAATCCGAGCTTCATCTCTAACTTATAACTACTCGACTCCGACTTATCTAAATTCAAGAGGCTCCATAAGGGTATAGAGAAGGCGAATCAATGGGAGAGGTAGTCCTCGCATAAAATAGGAGTCTCTAAACAAGGCCCAAGTCAATGAAACGGATGCTGAAACTGGGTGCGGGAATGACACGAACAACAAAGAAAGTGGGAGTTGGGATTTATAATTATAGATTTAGAATATTGTGCGGTTGGTTTAGTTTCCATTTTCCATTTTCAGTTTTAAAACGATTTTTAATTTTCCTCGAAAACAACGCGTTTTGGGTGTTTTCCGTGTTTTGGCAATTTATAACTGAAAACACTCAAAATGATAAAAATTCATTTTGCGTTTTCAATTATAAATTTTAACTCGTTTTCGACTAAACGCATTTTTCGCGTTTTCAAAAACGAAAAATGGAAAATGGCCCAAAAACGTCAGACCACACGCAACCTTAGTTTCTTGATGACCTTCACGATTTCAACAAGTGTGAGTATTTATAGTTTGAGAAATGGAACCGAGCTTTCTAGATGCTTGACGCGTGGCTTGATCCATGAGTCAAGCTCAATGACATCACATCCTAGTCATCATAGGCTTGTGACACCACACATGTTATCCGAGGTGAGAAAGAGGGAATATAACTTACAATCGTCTTCATATTGATGTCGACATCAATTAAATCGCAAGTGGCTAAAAGTGTTAAACTGCAACTTGCACAAGGTACTGGGACCTGATCTCAACAGTTTTTTTTTTTTTTTTTTTTTTTTTTTTTTTTTCCTTTTTCAATTTTTTTTTTTCTCGAGAATTATTCGTTTCTATCATGAAATTTTTTGTTTTATTGGGATTGTATTGTTATGTTAATCTTGTTTTATTTAACATACAAAACAAAGCTATTATTTTCAGTTGTCTATATTTTGAATCAACTCCACAAAAGAGGGATTTATCTCTTATTAATTGGAAAATGGAAACTTGAGAATAATTAGCATTTGTTTACATATTGTCCAAGAGAACCTTTTCTTACAGTTGACTAAGAGAGAATTGCCAGCCTCACCCAAGTACCTAGCATCCAATCTGGAGTTATCTCGTGCTCTACTGCAGTTTTGTTTAGTTTAGTAATTTTGATGATTTTCATTAAAATAAAATGTAGTCATGTGACCATATTTTGAGGAAGAAGCCATCTTTCGAAGTTATGAAACTATTTCATCGAATTTTTTAAAGACTATTGTTTCACGCCTCTAAGTATTCTCTACCCACTCACCCATGTCGATTTCAAATATAGGTACTTTCTATTTAAAGATCGTTCAAATTTTTCCTGGAAGTATGATGTTATCAAAGATTGAGTTGCCTTTATCGACTGAACAAATTTATTCCACAATAGTCAAGGGCGGACCCACATGAGGTCATGAGCACAAAATTTTGGTTTTTGTTTCCCGAAAAATGGTTGTTTTAATTCGTTTTCAACCCACTTTAATACATACCAAATGAAATCGAAATATTGCATTTTTAATATCATTTTTAAGCGTTCATGGCCTAGTTTTTCGCGTTTTAATGGTGTGCGAAATGATCAACCATAGTAAAAGTTAGGATGTATCAAAGTAGGCCGTTCCAAATCAGTATTTCAAAAATTTCGATAAAATGCTAATTTTTAAAATTTGCCGATGATCGTATACTATCCAAATCTACAAATCGCTTGCATCATCTAGAAGTTCGTTATGAAAACTATATTGTAGTCATATCTAATTGTCCAAACAGATATAAAAAAAAAAAGTTAAATATGCTTCAAACGTACGTATTAAAAGAAGCGTTTAACTCGTCTTTTAAAAAACACAATTATTTCATCAACGTTTATTATTTTTCACAATAAAATTTTCAATATAATTTACATCATTTTATTAGGGAATTTTTCAATAAAAATGATGTCAAAAATCTAAAATCGTTACAAATTAAATGGAATTTGAATTACTTTCAAATTATTTTTACATTAAACTTAAATTTAATTTACTTCCTCCATCCAATTTGATTTACTCGCTGTTAGCTCAATATCCATAAATGATATGGTAAACAAAACTATACATGTAACAAATTCATTTAACAACATTGATAATGATAGAATTATAAGACACTTTCAAGATATCAAAATGAGTATTAACGTATTTTTATAAATATTGTATTGTTTTAAAAAATTACACATTAATTTTTGGAGTTAAGCACAACTCTCGAGGATGACCTCGTGAGTGACCGTGCCCTCACATGCCCGGCGGGGTCCCTATGAATAAAATAATTCTGACCTCATGTGGTATTGTGTCAACCCTACGGTCATTCATGTGGGCACTATAGCACGACTCTAATTTTTTACCCCACAATCCAAAACAGTTGGATTCGCCCCTGACCATAGTTGGCACAACATGTTAACAAGCTTACTTCAGATCTAGCACCTCCATGACTAGGAGGGCGTGTGTAACATACGCATATTTACTATTAAAATAACCTTAAACAATCTTGCTTCACTCCTAGCATCTTCAATGGTATTCAAGTATAATTTAAATGCATTTACAGCTCAGTTAACGTGCATCTTGAAAGATTAATATTTTTTTCCATTAATTTTAAATTTCCATTATCAAACCCCCAGGGACTATCTAATTATTTCAACAATATCATGGAATTTATTAATGGGGTACTATTGAATGATCACATGACATTGCACGTGCCGAGAATTTTGCTTCGGGCTCACAATTTAGGACCGCCCCCCCAAACTCTCACATGCTTCAATAATGTCTCTTCCAAGTTTTTCCCCAAATATATTACTCCAACAACCCCAATCCAATCAAATCTAATTCGACCCGACTCCACTCCAACAAGAAAAAGAAAGAGAAAGAGAGGAAAAAATAGATATTTTATGTCACGACATGAATATTGAGGTCGAGTTTTCTGATTGATCCCTACGAAAGGGGAATAAGAACTCCCTATCATACCTTTGAGGTTGAAGTCGGTATTTGTATGAAAATGAAAAACTTATGTTACTTCAATAATGTCATGATCTGAAATAAGAGTCTTTTGGTTTCATTAAAGGATTGTGTATCACCTCGATATGATGAAAGTCATCACCTTGAACTATATAACCTTAAATCCAATATAATTTTTCTATTCATTTCCCAAACCACGATGAAATACAAGTTGTTGATAGAAAAATTGCATCATTAGTCTTCAATTTATTGTTTAGTAGTAAGTCAGTTATCAATTTTTCGAACGAACGAGTTGATTTTCAACATTTCATTATAGTTGTACAATCAGATTTTAAAAGCGTTAATTGTCCAATATTTCAACAAATTATATCACGATTCATAGAAAATGATGCTCTACTTCGTATTCTTATTTATCGATTTATGTTGGAAAATAAAATTTAATTTCAAGTAAAAAAAATAAAATAATGAGGAATACACAGTCCTGATCACATTGCATGGCCTCATTCACTCCCCCACGTTCCCATGCTCCCTTTCATTTGTCCTTCCATTGTACTTAACCCTATTTCTACCCCTTCATCTCTCTCGAAATCTCAACTCAGAATCTGAGTCAACTCACCTCCCCAAAACACACACACACACATAACAGTTAAGATTGGGTAAGAAATGGATGTATATGGAGTACCTGGAACGGATGATCTTCTAGACTTGTCTAATGATGAAATTTTCTCGGCTACCATTCATTCTGACCTCCACTGCCACGCCTCCTCCTCCGCCGCTGCCGCCAGCACCGCCAGATGCTTTGATGCGCCTACTGCTAACTATTCCGATTTCCCCGATGTCTTCTGTGTTCACGTAATAAACAAACGAGATTTCACTGAATAGGCAATTATATAATATAAAATTTGCCGCAAATATATCCTGATTTACAGTTTTCACTCAATATAGAGCTGATTTTTTTATTTTTCTGTGTCTAGAGTGAAGATGTGGCTGAGCTAGAATGGCTTTCGAAATATATGGACGATTCAATCACCGATTTTCCGTCGAATTCCATTACCAGCGCCGAAGCAGCATTTTGTGGTGGCTCTCGGAACATACGCTCCCGATCATTCACCTCCACAAACGCCGCCGCTTCCGGCACCACTGCATGGAGCTCTCCATCACCCCCAAATAACAATGTAAACCAGAGAGAGAGTTTGATTAACAGAGGTAAAGAGAATACTGAGAAGGCGCGTCGATGCACGCACTGCTCAACAGAAAAGACGCCTCAGTGGAGGACCGGGCCGATGGGGCCGAAGACGTTGTGCAATGCCTGTGGCGTTCGGTACAAGTCGGGCCGGCTCGTGCCCGAGTATCGGCCAGCTGCAAGCCCGACATTCGTCCTCACTCAACACTCTAACTCTCACCGGAAAGTCCTGGAACTCCGACGACAGAAGGAACTCCTCCGTCATCAGCAATTACAGTCGCAGGGATGTAATGACATTACTTTCAGGTTTGATGACGTCATTTGAAACAACAAGTGTCAGCATTAAAAGGACTGAAATTTGGAATACCCTAATTAATTTTTTTCCCTTTTCCCTTAAATTTATGAGAAATTTAAGATTTGATGCAACATTTTTTTTTTTTTTCATTTTAATCCTCTTTTCAATTGTGGAAGGAAGTTCATTAAAGTTTCTTACGTTCCATGTCCTTTTTGGGAAATCTCTCTCTCTCATTAGTTAAGTACGATGCGTTCTCCCCAGCTGGCACTACCATCGGCCCAAAGTGTGAGGAAAGAATAAAAAAAGGAGGTGGGTGGTGGTGCACGTGATAAGCCTTGAAGAATAGAATAGTGTCATATGTAAAAAATTTAGATTGCTTTTGATTTCAAGCAGGAAATTCGCATGAAAAGAAATAAGTTTTAGATAATTCAATTTCTAGAACGTATTTGCATAGAAATTGTCAAATAAATATAATTGATTGATTTAATTTTTAATTTAAAAAATATTATATTTGTCCAATTTTTATTGATGAGTAGATAAGATAGAGTGGATAGATTACAGAGAGAGGATGAATTTCCTGAAAAATAAAATTTTACTCCCCGTAAATAAAACATTTTCATTAATTTTAAGAAAAATATGACCATGTGGTCAAAAGAAGGAAAATATTTTTCATGGAAAAAGTCAGTCAAACAGCACAAAAATAAGAATTTGGGTAGAAAAAAATACATTTTCCATAAAAAAATATAAACAATCAAACACGCCTTTAGTAAATGACATGAGATGAAATGATAAGGCCAATTAAAAATTTGTACGTGAAATGTACTTTTTTGTCACTACTCACAGTCACATCACATGGAAATCTCCAATTTGTACAAATAGCATTACTCAAAAAAAATATCTTATGCGATATTTTTATTGCTTTTTTGTTAGATGAAAAAATATTTGATCAACAATGCTAACTTTCAACTAAAATACTAGAACAGAAAATGCTAAGATATCAGAAAAGATCTTAATCATAATTATTAAATTCAACGTTTAAATTTCTCTTGTGAAAAGATCATCGAATTTATTGAGATTATCTTCAAAAATCAACACTCAGCTTATACGCTATGTTACAAGTTTTTATTCACAATCTTGCTACATTTACGTTCTGCATTGTACATTTCTTTACAATTTCCTACATGACAACATCTATACTCTTGATTTTAAAATGATTCATCACATTGCTGCATGGATTTCATGTACATAAGTGAAAATGTCAACCAACTTGTGAATGTAGAACAGATGTAATTTTTCATTCAATCAAATCATCACAAACACGTAAAAAAAAAAAAAACTACAATCAAATAACAAGCGAAGCAATGGGACACATCATTCCTAGAATTTCTAGTGACAATAGAAATAGTTCGATGAAAAAGGGGCCATGAATATATTGAGGGATACAAAAAAATCTCGAGTTTAACCCTGCTATGACTTTATTCGGAATCATCAGTCATTTACGAAGAGGTGGGGCAATAAATATGATCTCTGTGATAATCGAACTGATTTCTCTCCAGCTACAGATTTAGGGTTTTCAATTCACTCAGTAAAAAGAAGACAATACCCAAATCCCACTATTACCATAGAATTTCTATATATGGAAATGAAACCTAAATTGGAGTAATTCAGACAGAAATCCCATAATTGCTGATCTTCGTGACTTCCTTGGTGAGAGCATTTCTTTCTTGCTTCGCCTCTTTAGCTAGGTTAGAAACCTAAAGGCATAAAACTCGTAAGAACAATTTTCAAAAATAATAATAATAAATAAATAAAAATAGGAAGGAAGGAAAAAAAAAGAAAAAAAAAAAAAAAAAACTACAAATCTAGTCTGTACATTCATTTGGAATTTAGATATTTTTCAAGGTCCTGTAAAGAATAGAGATCACTACTGCTTTAGGTGCAATGCTACAGACAGGTACCAGCTTAATCCAATCAAAATCAATAAGATTGGGATAGTTTCCATTTTTTCAGGACTAATTAATTAGTTTCAAGAAAGTATAATAGAATAACAAGTAGATATCTGGTTTTCTCAAGAAAATTTTAGATGTAGGTTACTTTCTTCAAGAGAATGTGCTTTTTGGTCAAATATAATGCCATAAAACACTCTTCAAAATTGAAAAAGACAACAAACTACGCGTGGCTATCAGTTAACATGGAGCCAGCTGATCAATTATTTTTCTCCCTTTTATCTAGTTCATTGCTAAGTTTTCCAGAAAATCTAAAGAACGCAGATCCTTATTGACTACTCCCTCTTCTCATCACATCACTCTTATAGATAGGAGCTTCTATGTCTATGCAAAAACATGTCCCAACCATCTAACTCGTCCATCCGTTAACTTACTCTTAATTGACGCCAGCTTCAATTGTTCAAATACAGAAAACTTCCTGATATGAATTGTAATGGTTTAAAAGAATATCCAAGTTTTCTTTCTACTTGATTCAAAAACGTTATCCTCTCATAGAACTTTTCCTTGGCAGGTAAAGATGTAAAAGAAGAGAACAATTCACAAGGTCATTATCCATAAGTTCATGCCTTTGGGGGGCCTCTAGGCAAAGATGCCACAGTTTTACTGAGTAGAGATAATAAAAGCAATGAAACAACAGTCTGTTATCTATAGACAATGTTCTACAAATATGAAAACCATAAAAAACTCTAGGGTCCTCAAACTTGAAATCCTAAATTAAATAACATACAATATTTTTACATGAAACTCGCGCTTAAATTCAAGCTTCACAAATTATGCTGCAAAGGCTACTCCACAAATTTACGGAAATGGTATATGTGCGAGCATGTAAACATCCTAAGTCTCAATTATAAGAAGTGTAAGGAACATGAAATAGACTTACTTGAGAACGAAATCGAGATGCTTCTCTACTGGGAAGCTCCTTAAGAACATCCTTCAAGCCTGATACAACATAAACTAATCAGATACCATACCCTACATACAGAACATCCTAAAAAATTAAAGGAACAAAAATGATTGCTTGACACGAGTGATCTACAAATACATGGACGCTCAGATACAGGTTTATGTACCTCCAGCCTGTCTTTCTATTTTGTATGCAGAGTTAATGACACTTTGAATTTGCTTTCCTGTCTGCCTACGTGAGGAAAAAACAACAGTAATATAATCATGAAAGAAATAGATGACAACTAAATGAAGTCCAATAGTAAATGACAGTTCATCTGCAAGCACAAACCTGAGTTTTGCTCTCCCCCGTTTCAACTCTTCTTCAGCTTGAGATGCACTTCTCTGATTCGTTTTAAAAAAAAAAATAAATAAATAAGCCACTCATAATAGAAGACATATTGCAACTTCTCTGTATTGTCTTCTAACAATTAAAGCATGTTGTAGTACCATTTGATCATTTTTACATCTGTACCACGATTGACAATGATTCGAGCATAGGCCACAGAGACAGAAGAAAAACAACATTCTTAATTCTAGCATGGTATAATTTTTTCAGAGACACAGAAGATAAAAATTTCTTTTTAGTTGGGGAATACTAAATTAACAAAATATTTCAAGCATTGCCCCTTTAAAATTAGCATTTATGCATGATTTTGATTCCTATATCAAGAAGTGGAGGGGGAGAGGGATTTAAGGGAAAGTAGACGACAATCTTCCCAATCCAAATATCAATAGCCCAGTTGACAACAACTGAGCTGGTCAAAGATGCAAAGGAAATTTAGTTTTAAAAAATAATAATAATAATAAAAACTGTTTTCTGTGTCTTTCACCTTGCTTATTATTGTATCATCAGCTTCTTGTTTTCCTTCAGTTTGGGGGGATGCAATTGAGAAAGGAAGGCAAAAAGAAAATTCATGAAAGTGCTATAAAGGATTGCAACATGAGGCATAAATGGTTACAATGTCAACTAAACAGAGTCAGTTGCAAAAGGAATACCTCCAACTTTTCAGTTTCCGCCTTCAAAAAATCAATTGATTGCCGCAACTCCTTGACTTTTGCATCAGCCCTAGAAAGCAACGCCTGGAACCAACACTACTGATTAACATGATGTTTCCTTACTTGAACCAGTACTTAAATGCTACATAAATTTCCTTCATTACACAAATAAAAATAGAAACTACTTCGACTATAATTTACACTATTTTTCTCTTTTTTATCAACATTAATATGCTACTAGGTTATCAATAAAAACTTTCCCAGTGTCTACATCTGTATCCAGTGAACTGCTTTTTTTATATAAGAGCTAATTCATGTTGCCGTTGTTTTCCCATTATTCACAGCACAAGAATCTAACTCAGTGAAGTACTTAATCCACACAATCCACTAAAGGTTTTGTGGCTCTATTACCTCTTCACTGACAAAAAGACGCATTGTGTTGTAGTACAAGAATCGCCTAGGCCCTGAAGAAGAAAATAAAAGCAAGTCTCGTAAAACATCAGGAATGAAAGAATTATCAGCAAAAATTACTGCTATTCAATGTTAACGCACAAATTGCATTAGTAGATCGAGGTAGGAAAAGGCATTGACTGTTTAAAACGTACTTTTAAAACCCAAAAATCCTAAACCAAGAACAGCTCCTGTTGTGACCAATGGATAGGAAGCAGCAACAAGAAGACCCTCTGCTTAACAAAAAAAGTCAAAAACCAGGATGACAAGGAGAGACTCAAATAAAAGCTTTTGATGATGAATTTAATATCAATACATGAATTATAACTTCGAACGGACCTTTAATCTTCCCAAAAGCAATATCCTCATACACGCTATATGCAGACTTTACCTCTTGCAAAGAATACTGTAACAAGGTTGTTCTCAATCAAAAATATTTTCACGGTAATCAATGACTAAGAAAATAGAATTTTAGGTTCAAGTACAGCTCCCAGAAGCCCATATGCTATAAAAGCAACAGAATTTGCTGCAGAACCCAAGAGAACAAAACCCTCTGCTTAAACTGTTGGTATTCTACAACACGGTCAAGTTACACTCCGAAACCAAAACTCTGCATTAAATGCAGCCAACTTGGAAGCATCAAACAATATTCACGAGTCAAATAAGTGAAATAATTAGGCCACAAACTAATTAAAAAGAATAATATTATTTAAACCCATTGGGGTTGCAACCTCATTTTAGGTGACGCTACTGTGACGTTAATCGATAAGTAGAATTAAATAACTTATTTAATTTCACATTTCATTTAACCTATCATTTAGTGCCACTTAAACTAGGGCTGCAACCCAATAGAGCTACATAACATTACTCAATTAAAATATCTGTAAACTACAATATTCTCTTTTCCATCAAGGTCTGTTTGGTTGCCAACTTGCCATGGAAATGTAAGTTCACCTAATCTTATATTAACTTCAAATGCCAATATGAATAACTTTTGAGAGCCTAGCCTATTAATAATCAGACCAAGAAACAAACAATTCTCTTATTTAAGATCAAGTATTTCAAGCAAAAATCAATCACTGTCATAGCACACATATTAGGCAAAAATAGTATTTGTCTCAAAGATTTTTGAGGCAATCAATTTGAAAGTATCTACCTTGATATTAACAATTTCATAGTTAGCTAGCTATCCGACGTATTTACTTAAAAAATATATTAATATACTTGCTTATATCCACATTAAACACAAGAAACCAAATAAAAAAATTAAAAAAAGAGCACATAAATCATCAAGGATTATGGGGTTGTGTGACTATTGATTGCTTTCACAAAATGAGATGCTCTCTCTGCCGATTATGCCAGAACCAGGTAAGACTTCAAAAAACAAAGTACAATCACAAGTACAGTTTGACCTGCTCTGCAATCTTTTCTCACGTGTATAAAATTTCATTTACACATATAACCAAATGAAAACAAACAAGTCAGCAGCACTATGATTTACAAGCATTAAGTCTTCATTGCATGGTTTTAATTTTATCAGCACCAAATGCAGAGTGCTTTGAGAAAGCAAGGAGAAACACTGAAAATATGAATTTATTGTGAAGAAAACTAAGCCAGATCTGACTTCCAATGGATTATGTCCCAATATAATATGTATGGGAGTAGGTTTAAGTATGGGTGTGTCATTTTAAGTATGGCACTTTTGCAGCATTATACATAAAGGGGGTCAATTTCTTTCTCTTTTTTTCAGATTTTATCAGCTAATTTATGAGGCTATCAAAATTGCTAAGCCTATTATGGAGGACAAGAATACCAGAACCAGGGGAAAATTTCAAGTACTTATGAGTGCTCACTATTTAATTGACATGTATATTGAATAATTGAGACCCATATTTCATTGGGACTGAGACATGGATGAATTATACACTATCAATTAAATAGTTACATGGAGTACTAGAAATTTTCTCCATAACCAGGTTCAAGTGTACAACTTTTAAAGTATAATCTATTGCTCCAAATGAAATACCTTCAATGAAATAGTTATTTCATTGTTGTAGCATTACAAATTTCAAAAATAAAAAAGCCTAATGTATTATTTATTCTTTAGTGTTTTTTTCCCCAAATTTTATGAGAGGAATAATAATAAAGGCAATTAAACTCCAAAGCTCATCATGGTTTAGTTAAATTGTGCAGCGGAGGTGGTAAAAAATACAAGAGTTTGGTAACAGTGTCCAACTTTTGAAGCAAAACGTACAACAATCGTTACCCCTATTACTCCAAAAAGATACCCAATATTCTCTTCATTCATTTTTTTTTTTTATCAGGAGACTAATAATAGAAGCAGTTGAATTTGAACGCTCACAATGGTTTGATTGAAATCAGCGGCGGAGGTGTTAATAATGCGATTGACTCTCGATCTGGTGCTTTGGATTGCGTTCTCGACGGAAGTTTCGATTGTTTCCTGCGCAAACTGAGCTTGCTGCACCGCGTAATCGATCCACCGTATGTTCGGAATATGATCTTCCCCCGAATAATTGTTCGGTTTTTCTTCCGGTGATCTGCCTGCAATTGTTGCCATTGTTTTCCTCTGTTCTCCACTTCAGATTTCAAAACGCTATTTCTTTACCTTTTTTTTTTTTATTAACAATTATTAATTTGTCTCGGGTTGAACCGAATTCGGTAGTGGTGTTGCGGGTTGCTTTTTCACTTTTTCATTTTACTATTTCACGAGCAGGATTTTGTTGCACGTTGTTAGTGTTTTTAATGTTGAAAATTGTTTAGTTTTTAATGCTGATATCAGTTTTCTGTTTAAAGAAAAAGTGAATTCATTAGTTAAAAACAGAATCATTGGATGTAAGCCATGATATTAATTTTGAAATGGAATGATTTAACATAGTAATATTTTATTGTATTTGCAATGAAAATGAGAAAAAGGAAAATAAGAAGCGTACAACAAACTTTAAATTTCAAGAGTAGTAATTTATTGCTATTCGGTGGAAGCTAAAGTCTTGTACATAGACAAACATATAGACAGATCATGTTACCTGTTCCAGATATACAAAATAGAACATTGATTACTGTCTACTGTCAAAAAATAGTCGCAAAAGTATCATAGATGTTATTCATTCATGTTTTTCTTTTGAGGTGATCCCAATGGTTCGGTCATCGATTTTGGAGCCTGTGTGAGTTCTTTTTTGGGGTTTTGACTATGCTTCAATAGGTACATCTGATGGTTGAAAGAGAGACCTTTTTGCATGCGGTGGATTGATTTCTTCAGTAGCGGTGGAAATGTCATCGGGTTGTCCGGACACCTTGTCCTTGCCTTTTACGTATTTGTTGTTGGAATTTTTTTTCCATTTCAATTTGCCTGTTTGCATCTTCTGTAACAATTGAGGAATCAACTTGATTTGCTGTGGAGGAGTTGAACACGAATATGATTTCAAAGCGGTACTCAGGTGGGTCGTGGCGCTTTTCTGTTGCCTTGAGGTAAAAGAGTAGCTCTGTATCACTTTCCAATTTGACAACGTCATTGAGTTCTTTAATACCTTCCGTGGTCGAAGAAATATATTTCAATAGAGTGGCATGTTTGTTGTTAAGAAAGAAAGCATTTTCGAAAGATGTTGAATATGATGTTGTACCTTCTGAAGATGGTTCATTAAGTCATTGACGTTACTTTCCAGTAACACTTCTGCTGCATCTCCTATGATGGTTGCATCTAACGAACCGGATTTGTCTTCAAGTTGTACAAAAGCATTTACCCTAAAGAATACGTTTTTTTTTTAGCCATGTATTATATACCTTGTTCCTGAAATAATAATTAGTAAATTTTTGAACTTATATTTAATAGAAGAAATTACCTTGGGATAACTTTTGAGTGTTCGTACTTACAGAATCGACATTTATGAATTTCTCCAAAGTTCGCGTTGGAAGTTTTCTTGCAGTTGTTACAAGACATATACTAAATTTTTTTGTCTTTTGAAGATATTTTCCAGCGTGCATTCACACAATAGAATTTCTTCTGTTAAAGGATATGTCTCATGTAATTAGATTAAAGGATACGACTGAGAAAAATACGTGATGTTACTATAATATTTATTGTGAAATTAAAGATAATGTGTTTCTATTAATTATATTCAGTTTATATTAGTATAGAAGTACCGTTAGATACACCCCTAATAAATCATCAATCGGTGTCAATTCATTATCAGTAGGAGGAGAAAGTTTGGGTGGGCTGACAGCAATAAAAGGTTTATTTTCCGTCAATTTGTCAAGCGCTTCCTTGTTAGCTTCCACCCTACAAGAAATAATGATATATTTAGTTATAAAATAAAACCTTTGTTTTTTTGTTTTTTTTTTGTATTAAAGGTACGTAAATAAGCAATATGTATATTAGGTATGTTGTATTACAATTCTTTGTACTCCGCAATAGCATGTAGTTGGACATTAATGAAAAAATTACTATTTACTTTGGTCGAAAGTGTGATGCCTGTACAAAAGAAATTAAGAATATCTTAAATGAAAATAATAATAATAATATTATAGATGGAACTGTATTTGTAAGAGAAATTTATCGTTGAACGAAGAAACTTTGAGATTTGTAGTCCATATCACGGGTCTATTTGGAAGATGTTCAATTATCGAATTGCATTCTCTTTCGACAAAGGTATCCCATAATGTTAGTATAACATTTTTGAAGTCTTTATCTATCAAGACTACATCTTGTAGATAAGCTTCTGTACCAAAGTTAGTTTGAATAAGGCATTTCTGTCGAACACCTATAGCGACACCCATCAAGCCTACAAGGTTACGTAAATTGTTTTATATGTTATTTTGCATGCAATAACTTTGAACGTAAAAATTAATTATGAAATATTTTATATGTTATTTTGCATGCAATAAATTTGTACGTAAAAAATAAATTATGAAATGTTATATGAAATGATTTGTTTAAATGTAATGCAGTAGAAATCTTACTTATGTCTGTATTTTTGTCCATATGCCTCTCTAGTTGATCAAACGCAGTAAGTTGAAATTTTAAGAACAGGAGATTCAAATTGTCTTCATTTAATTCTTCAACCTTTGTTCTTCCTGTTATATTCCACATTTTTTGTCCAGGAGAACTCCGAAATTCACTTTTGAAATCTTTAGCTGTTGCATTTAACACAATGTATGTTTTTCCAAGTTCGAACTGATCGTTTAGTGTAGTGATATTGGTATCATACATTGTTGCTATGATTTTGTTTCCCTGTTCAAAAAAAGAAAAAAATGAGAACATTTAGAAAATATACACGTATAATGATTGGTAAAATTTTATTGAAACGAGAGTTATATTTGTACCTCGAAATCCATGAGAGTAAGATTTTGATAACGACTATTGGAATTTCAAGCAGTCTTTGGGGATTGTTTTCCTGAGACGATCACTTTTGCTGACCAATTGGTTTCTGAAGCTGAAATTTGCGGAATGAATTTATGAGGTGCAGCCATTTTGTTATAGCAATTGTTGATATGTAGGAAGAAGAAGAAGAAGACAGTATGAGTAGAAGTTAGAATTTTTTAAAGTTAGAATTTCTTAGAGTATGGAAGCTCTAAATGGTAACGATAATTTTTGTATTTTTGCAGTTCCAAATGTGAAGCTGAAGCTTTATGTTACCCTATTTATAAAAAAAAAAATTTTGAGACATAGTTGCTTAATAAATATTTTAATGTTGGGTATGCGATGTTAGAAGGACGTTGTTAAAGTATTTACGTGTTCATGTCTCAGTTGTAAAAAATGAAGCATAGATGGGATAAATAAACTAAAAAAAGGAAATACTGAATATGAAATTTTTTTTTATGGTTAAAACAAATAAAATAATTGACTTTGTAAAATCTCATCAATAGCCATACCTTATTATCTAAATAGTCATACGTTACTGTATAATCACTGATATAAGATATGGAGATTAATTTCAAATTTCATTTATAGTACAAAGATATGGCTGTAATGGAATATAAGATTATTTTATTAGTTCTTATTATTTTATTTTATTAAAATTTGAAAATGTGACAGTTTGGAATAGGCAAACATATGAGGACTACGGCAGACGTTTAATATATAGTATGGAGAAGTGAAGTTGTACTTATAATATAGAAATAGTTTTGAATTGTTTTAATGAATGAAAATAAGATTTAGTTTAAATAATATCGGAAGAAATATTTACATTTTATATTTATTTGTCGAAAAAGAAATGATGCTATAGATCAATTCATTTAATTTAAATAATATAGAAATATGTCTGTCTAATAAACAGTGAAAAAAGAATTTTTTTTTGTGTAGAAGACTTTTTGCTACCACACATATCATTTATACTTTATCCTTATCTATACCATTCCTTTTATATCCCAAAATCTTCATTCTCTACCTAAAATCAAAGACAACCTTATTTTAGCAAGCACCATCCATAGCAAAAGGCAAGTATTTAAATTTTTACCTTCATATTTTATTTATAAATATAAGTGAAATTTTATAGTTAGAGGGGGGGAACCTTGGTGCACGGAGGTTCGAAAGGGTTGGGGGGACCCCGTGCACGGAGGTTTTTGAATTTGTATTTTTTTCTGTTATCATGTATTTTTGAATTTGTATAAATATTATTTCGCTGCTTGTTTAGAATTGTTAAATTTGTTTACAAATAGTTTGTTTTCAAATTATTTATGCAGATGTCTTTCGAATATATACTGTCTCCAAATCAATGGTTTTCTGCTACGATTACTCAATATCCAAGTCGAGAATATCTTAAAGACTTTATAGATTTTATAGATGCAAATCAACAATGTTCTATAATGTGTAGTAATTTTTATGAATTTTTTTCTGGAATTATTTATAGAGAAGAGGAAGAGTTATTTAGTAGTAGATTGATACATGAATTCGTAATGCGGCCTGTTGACTGTGGCAAAAATAACGAAGTATGGGTAAAATTAGATGATCGTATTGCTAGATTTGGTATGCAAGAATTTTATCTTATCACTGAATTACCTTGTCATGAACCGGTTATGGAGATTGATCATAGCAACAATCGTTTTAGAAATCATTATTTCAATGGTAGTCAAAGAATTAGCATGAAAATGTTATTTGAAGTTTTCCATGAATGTGAAGACTTAGTAGATAAATTTGACTTGGGATTAGTTATGTTGGTGGAATGTGTTATAAAACCAGTTGGAAGAATTATTGATTACAAAACTCTTGGTATGGTCGAGCATCTTGATGAATTTATTGGATATCCTTGGGGTCGAAAAGGATTTTTTATTTTTTTAAATTCACTACAAGAATCACAATTGCAAAGAGCAGAAAGAGTACAACGAAATGAACAAATAGATTGTAAGTATGCATTACGAGAGTATCCACTTGCATTTCAGGTATTTTATTAATATTTTTTTCTTTTGTTGACTTCATTTATTTGTAAGAGAAAAATAATTGTAATTTGTAATTGCGATACAGTATTGGATTTATGAGGCATTTCCAGGAATTGGAAAAAAATTTGGACGGCGTCGATACAAAACAGCACAGAGTCCACGAATGTATAAGTGGAGTCCTAATAAACTGCTGACTGAAAAAATGATTAAGCATTTTCTGGCTACTCGAGATGTA